CTCGGGGCCCAGCGCCACCCAGCTGCCCGCAGCTGCCTTCTAGGGCCCTGTGTCCCCCACTGAGCGGCGGTGATGAAGGTTGGGTGTGGGGTCCGCGAGCCTTCCCTTCTCCGATTCGGCGCCCCCCGCAAGGCCTGGCTGGGCATAGACGATTGGAAGGCCTGACTTGGGCACCAGCCGCCTGTGTTGGTGGAAAGTGTGACGGGAGAAGGGACTCGGTCATCACGGCAGCCAGGCCGGTTGTCAGGCGTGCACAGGTGCGCCAGAGCGAGGCCCGCGGGGCGTCCAGGCCGGGCAGCCTGGAATTCCGCCCTCCCGCGTTCTGCCTGGGTTTTTATCTGGCCAGGAAAGATGGAAGGACCCCTCTTTCCGAGGTACCTGGGGGAGTTTCCTTTCTAGATGAATCCGGTTCCTTAATCTGGGGGAGACCGGACGCCCTGGTGAGGAAACTTAAAGAGCACCCAGGTAACCCCAGATATTGGAGGTTTACACATCTTCATTGGCGTGATTCAAACCATCTCTTCCCGAATGTTTTTTGTTCCTGTTTTGGTTTTCTTTTACATTTTAACAAGTTACATTTTTTTTCCCCACTGAAAATTATGTTAGAGTGATTTCAGATGCGGTGTGCTTGGAGGGGGAGGATTTTTGAGCCCCTTTGTGCTTTTGGACTTCCAGGTAGATGAAACTGTTTTGCTGGTTCTTGGCTTGACCACACAAGCCCAGGGGGATTCCTGAAACTACGTTTTTCTCCTTGTGATGTGCAATTAAGTGCTGTCATTTCTGAGGAATGTTCTGTTAGGTTCCAGGTTTTCACAATTCTGGTCTCTGTTGAAATCTCTAAGCCTTCAACTTAAGACAACTAATCTTTTAATTCACCCATCATTGAGCTATATGTATGATATAGGTAGGTTCAAATTATGCATTGTTTCTTGTCAGTCTCTCTTTTCCCCACTCTTCAAGTGGGAAAAGTCATCCCTGACGTTCTGAACATTTGTGTTCTGAACATTTTTATTCGACCTGCATCTCAAGAGGAGGTGACAAACAAAATACACAGAGACATGATAAATTGTCTAAGTCTGGCATTCACACACAGTGAGACCAAAGGAGGATTTTTCTTAGGGGAGGTACATGAAGGCACAATACCTATGTGCATCTGATTATATAAAATAATATTTATTGGGGGCTGGGAAGGTGGCTCAGTGGTAGAGCGCTTGCCTTGCATGCCTGAGGCCCTGGGTTCGATTCCTCAGCACCACATAAGCAGAAAAAAAAAGCCGGAAGTGGGGCTGTGGCTCAAGTGGTAGAGTGCTAGCCTTGAGCTGAAGAGCTGAGGGACAGGGCCCAGGCCCAGAGTTCAGGTCCTATGACCGGACCCCCCCCCCCAAAAAAAATAATATTTATTGAAACGACTCCAGCAAATGGAAAGAGTTTTTTTTTCTATGTTGCTGTTTTTGTTTTCTTTTCATTTTTTCTTGTTTATCTGTCTTTGGGAGGGTAAGGGGTGGCCCAGAAACGGTGGGACAAAGGGTGAACAAATGCAGCAGTGGTACTCACTGGACATTGTATTGAAAATGAAACTATACAACTTATGGGTGGAGATGGGAGGGAAAAACCTGGGAGAGAGAGAGAAGGAAGGGTGACAATTTTGAAAAAGAAACATACTTTTTACCTGACCTATAGAACTGTAGCCTCTCTCTATATCACCTTTATAATACCAAAAAAATGCATGAATTAAAAAAAGAAGACTTGACATAATAGGCAATAGATAGAATACTGACCTTCCATACCAAACTTGAAGGTACATTCTGAACTTTATAAAACAATGTGAAACAGATATTTCCTTCTTACTTAGAAGGCCTGTGTACACAATTCTTAAAGTGAGGGGGAAATCCTGTGCATGTGGAAATGTGTTCAAGCTCAGTGGATTTAAGCTCATTTCTTGGCACAGTTGAATTGAAGGAAATAATTTAGGCTTTGTTACGTGGAGATCTTTGGAGGAAGTTTTGTTCCTTCTTAGATGAATGCTGTTAGTAGACTTAATTTTTTTATGTGAATATAAAGCTTTTAATTTTCAAAAACTGCAAAAGTATTTCTATTCTGCTCCCCTAAGGTTTGGCTTTTGTCTTGTTTTTTTTCAAAGTCAAAAAGTAATTATAAATCTATAAGAGTCTGGTTGGTAAAATCAGTGCTCTTTTTCCATGAGTGGATAGTATCGAGATACAGACTTAATATAGGTTTTTTTCTGTTGACCTCAGGAATCTCTGATCACATTTGACTGAGCTTTACTTTCTTATGGAGCCTAGTAGAGAAAGCTATTGGGCACCATAGAACCCATCAGAGGAGCAGGGTTCTGGCACACACCAGCATGGATTAGAGCAAGTCGCAAACTTCATTGTTCTTCCTCCGGGACTACGTACATTAGGCAGCGATCCTTCTGGGGATATTAAGATTTGTGACTGTGAAGAGACTTAATCAGTGCTTTGTTTTCCTTTTAAACAGCTGAGCCCCATATGGGAGTTGGCAGGCAGCAGAGAGGGCCCTTTCAAGGTGTTCGTGTGAAGAACTCAGTGAAGGAACTCTTGCTACACATCCGAAGTCATAAACTGAAGGCCTCTGGCCAAGTGGCGGATGATTTTAAGGTAGCACCTGTTTGTTGTTTTTCGTTTAGTTGAGAGATTAGTTTGTCCTTGTTACTCCCTGACCTAGATCCAGTAAGTCACTTGTAGTTTTTTTTATTGATGACAGAATCCACTGGGTGGAATTCATTTGTCAGCTCTGCTGTTCCCATTGCTTAGCTCAATGCCTGACACCTGATAGATGGGGAAGAAAAACAGTGGGTGAATAGACACAAGCAAGTTAAGGGGCCAGGAAAGTAAGAGTTAATTAAAATGAACATTCTGGCTAGAAAAGGAAACAATTAAATGGTCTTGTTATCTTGACCTGAGTTGAATTCGGTGCAAGTGAAAATGGAGGAATTGAGAAATAGAATGAAGATTGAGATAGAGAATAAATATTGATTGCATAACTGTGTCAGGGATTTATGGTGTGCTGTAAAGAATGGTAGCGATGAGTTTTTATTGATGCATATTAAGTAGTCGTTTTCTATACACTAAATTGGATTTTTTTTCCCCTTACAGACACAAAGTGTGAACATTGGACAGTTAACAGGTAAGAGTAGCCATAATTTATTGGGGTTATAGAGTAAAATAATATAGTGTGATGATGGGTAAAAGTTTTAATGTAAAATGGTCACAGACTTCTTATCCTTTTCTTGGGTACAGAATTGAAGAACACAGGATTGTATAGTGGGAAAAGAAAAGGGCCTGATTTTCTCTCTGATGGACCAGCTTGTAAAAGGCCAGCTCCACTGCACACTCAGTTTTTGGTAAATATCTCACTATTTTCTTCGGAATACAGTTTGGATATCATTCCTGGACTCAGTTTTAAACATTCTTCATTGACTGGTGTTGAGGATTGATTCTTAGATTGTGCCCAGCTCCTAGAAGGAAGGGAATGTGAAAATGGCATTGATTTCTTTTAATTTCTTTCCAGACACCACCTCAAACACCAACACCTGGGGAGAGCATGGAAGATGTTCATCACAATGAATCCAAACCGGACAGCAGTGCCGATCTGCTTCAGAACATTATAAACATTAAGAACGAATGCAACCCAGTTTCCCTGAACACAGTCCAGGTTAGCTGGATGAGCCCTGTGGTGCCTCAGAGCTCTCCCCAGGAGCAGGAGCAGGACTTCCATGGAAGGCAGGTCTTCCCTCCACCTCAGAAGTATCAACCATTCCAAGTCAGCAGCTCCCCACAAGTGATGGATCAGGCTTCCATGTACCAGTATTCTCCACAGAACCAGAGTGTACAGCAGCAGCAACAGCAGCCGCAGCCCTATACCCATAACCCAACTCTGGAATACAGTCCTTATTCCAGAACTTCACAGTCCCCCAACTATGAACCAAACCTCTTTGAGGGTCAGGAACCACAGTTCTCAAACCAGAGCTTTGTGTCCCTTCTGAATGGTCTTGGAAACGCCGAGAATATTGCCATTCCCAGTCAGCTGTCTCCCAGTGTCCAGCAACAAAATGATGCTCACCTGCAGAACTTCAGCCTGGTGCCCAACAGTGCCTGTGAGGCCACGGGGGCTCACGATGCGGCCTCAGCCACTTCAAACACCTCATTGCCGTTCCTGAACATGATCGGAAATCCCATGAACGCCACACAGTTAGGGAAGTCATTTTTTCAGTGGCAAGTAGAGCAGGAAGAGAACAAATTGGCCAACATCTCCCAAGACCAGCTTCTATCAAAGGATGCCGATGGTGACACGTGAGTATCCTTTTAGCTTGTATACTTTGACAAGCCACATTGATGGACCAGTGGGCACAGAATTTTGTTAGAGTATACCAAATTACCTTACAGTGGTTGCCCAACCAACATAGAAATGTCTACTTGTGATAGCTTCTATCTCAAGGAAATGCATTTCTTTTATCTTTTTTTTTTTTGCTGAAAGATATCACATTATTATTTATCTATGAAATACTTGTATAAAGGGCTTACAGTTCCATTAGTTAGGTTATGAGTACAATACCTCTTGGTCAGTGTCACCCCTTCTTTTGTTCTTTCCCATTGTCCCCCCCTCTCACAACTACCCTCAAATTATGTAGCTCATTTTTTATGTAATGTATATCGAATATAATGACTGCATTTGCTTAGACATATCGTCTTGTTACAATAATTGGTTTTGGAAGACCAGGATCGTGTGTCCTCTGGAGCAGACACAATAATTAATCAGTGAATTGAACCCTAATTTGTCTTGTGCTTATGGAGCAGAAACAATTAATAATTAATCAGTGAATTGAACCCTAATTTGTCTTGTGCTTATGGCCTTTGGCAACTTATTTTAAAATCTTTGTGCTTTTATTTCTTGACATGTAAGAGTAATGCTTTCATCATAGAGTTTTTGTGAGCATTAAGAAATTAATAGATTTAAGTTGTCCAGCAAGGTATTTGACATTGTTTCTTCTCTATAATCCAATTTTTGTTGTGGCAATTCAGATAGATTTATACACACACACACACACACACATATTTAATGTAGTAGAAAACATGAAGTATAGTAGAAAACATAAAGTATGCTTTGTAATGTTTACATTCGGATACATCGATATTATCAAGTAAGGGTTGACAGGAGAATTTTCTTTTGAGACAGGGTTTTGATTTGTAGCTTAGGCTGGAATCTAACTCAAGATACTTTATCCTTGGCTGGAAATGTGGCTTAGTGGTCGAGTGCTTGCCTATCATGCATGAAGCTGTGGGTTCAATTCCTCAGTACCACATAAACAGAAAAAGCCAGAAGTGGCACTGTGGCTCAAGTGGTAAAATGTTAGCTTTGAGCAAAAGAAGCTCAGGGACAGTGCCCAGGCCCTGAGTTTAAGCCCCAGGACTGGCAAAAAAGGAAGGAAGGAAGGTAGGAAGGTAGGAAAGTAGGTAGGTAGGTACTTTAGCCTCAGCCTCCCAAGTGCTAGAAGTATAGGTGTGCACCGACCACACTTGCCTTACTTATTGTTTTTTCAGTGGCAAACAGTGCAATCAGAAGTAATTTGCCTTTTTCTCTTTGTTTGCCAGGTTCCTCCATATTGCTGTTGCCCAAGGGAGAAGAGCACTTTCCTATGTTCTTGCAAGAAAGATGAATGCACTTTGCATGTTGGATATCAAAGAGCACAATGGGCAGGTGATTATGTGGACAAAGTCTGAAATGGTGCTGATGTGGACAGGAGGACCAATCTCCTGTGTAGATTGTTCCAAAGCTCAAGATCAGACCAAGAGAGTTAATATTAAGAGAGTTGAAATCAAGAGAGTTAATATTAACTTGGAGATAATGACTTTTTGACACCATCAGTCTTGAAATTATTAATATTAACTCTAGTTATCTGACCAAAGATGCAATATAAGTAGGCCTCCCCCTAAGGCTATTTATTTCCTTGTTTTACAGTATCAGATTGCTTATTACTAGGATTTATTTTCTCTATGTGGGTTTTCCCCTCTCATAGTTTAGTTTCATATTCTTTGTTAGGATAGTGTTGTATATTTTAAAAAAAATAAAGTCTTTTTATTTTTTTTTTCTCTGACTACGCACAGAGTGCCTTGCAGGTGGCAGTGGCTGCCAATCAGCATCTGATTGTGCAGGATCTTGTGAACCTTGGGGCCCAGGTGAATACCACAGACTGCTGGGGAAGAACGCCCCTGCATGTCTGCGCTGAGAAGGGCCACTCCCAGGTGCTGCAGGTAAGAGGCCGGGAACCAGGCTTCCATCACAGGGTCAGAGAGAGACGCCTTGGATATTAGAAATTGGCTGTAGGTTGTCTATTGCAGTTAGCTGTTTTGAGTTGATGTATAAATTTCTTGGGAAACTAGTAAATAGGTATTTCTGTTTCTCATCTTTTACTAACAGATGCCTGTTTTAACATTTTGCAGGCAATCCAGAAGGGAGCAGTGAGGAGCAATCAGTTTGTGGATCTTGAGGCAACTAATTATGACGGTAAGCGACTCAAACTCTATTGGACAGTAGACCCTACATGGAAAGTAGGGTATTGTCAGCTGAACACCAGTGACTCACACCTCGAATCCTAGCTACTCAGGAGGTTGCGATCTCAGGATCATGGTTAGAAGCCAGCCTGGGCAGGAAAGCCCATGAGACTCTTAGCTCTAATTAAGCACCAAAAAACTAGAAGGGGAGCTGTAGGTCAAAGTGGTAGAATGCTATAGCCTTAGCAGAAAAGCTAAGGGCAGCATCCAGATGCTGAATTCAAGCCCCAGCACAACAAGAAAACAGAGTGTCAAGTGTCAGAAAGAAAGGAGATAAAACTAGTACTAAGACCAAGCAGAGGGTATGTTCAGATTGCCTTACTACTAGTTTTTGTGGAACCCATTTGTAGGTGAAATGAGAGGCCATCCTTTTGTAATTTTAGAGCAACCTGAAAGACTGGATAAGATGTTTGACTGCTGCTTTGTTCTCTTTTCCTAGGCCTGACTCCTCTCCATTGTGCAGTGATAGCTCACAATGCTGTGGTGCATGAACTCCAGAGAAATCAACAGCATCATTCTCCTGAAGTTCAGGAGCTCTTACTGAAGAATAAGAGTCTGGTTGACACCATTAAGTGTCTGATTCAAATGGGAGCATCAGTGGAAGCAAAGGTAACTTCCCAGAAGAAGTTTGAGATGGGCTAGGGAGGAAAGTGGTTATAGCAAAAGACCTTAATCCTAAGGGCAGATGAAAACTTCTCTCCTTTCTTTTTCTTGTTTTAATTAGTAAGTTACTAACTCCATGCATGACTGCTAATCCTGAATGGGCAGCTAAGCTTAGATTTGGAAAGACCCTTTCATCAGCTTGCTTGCTGTGATTTTAGTATGTAGTGATGATCTCAAAAGGTTATTTAGCTGTGAAATAATTTTAGTCTGTGTTTGGAAGGCCAGGCAGACAGTACTGCTGTCATTCTGGCTTCCATTTTTATTTGCTCATAGTAAAGTTCATGCTTTTTTTTTTTTTTTTTAAGTTTCCTTCTTTGTTGTAGAATCTGGACTTAATCTTCTGTTTTTTAAATTAGAAAATGTTTTTTAAAATAGGAAGCTTAGTTCCTATTTCTGTTCAGTCCTACAACAGTTTTAGGTGTTTTTTTTTTTTGCAGGGGGGGGGAACGCCTAACAAAAACCACATAGGCCTTTCAGAGTTTACTAACAAAAGAGGAGAAAGATACAGTGCACTGTCGCTCTGTATGGTGATCACACATGGTTTTTCCTAGAGCACATTTTATATTTCTACATTTTTATGGCTAGACCATGATAAGAGGCAAATAGACACATTAATAGAGAACTTATGAAGAATAGTAGTAGTTTGGGCTTGAGGCCAATTTTTTTGTAAAAGGTAGCATTCAAAGTATCAGACACTTGAGAGATGATGGTGAAAAGTGTATTGTAAAGCATTGTATGTGGATTTTCAGTCTTTTTACTTTCACCTTTGATAAGGATCGTAAAAGTGGTCGCACAGCCCTGCACTTGGCAGCTGAAGAAGCAAATCTGGAACTCATTCGCCTCTTTCTGGAGCTGCCCAGTTGCCTGTCTTTTGTGAACACTAAGGTAATTTAGAAAGCTTCAGAAACTTGAGAGTTGGAATGACCTTCATACCTTCAAGCCTTTAAGCTCCTTTCATGAAAATCCTCCGTGCTGATGCATGGCATTTCACTTCTTTGTCTTCAGGCCTACAATGGAAACACTGCCCTCCATGTGGCTGCAAGCCTGCAGTATCGGGTGACACAGCTGGATGCAGTCCGCCTCCTGATGAGGAAGGGCGCTGACCCCAGTACTCGAAACTTGGAGAACGAGCAGCCAGTGCATTTGGTTCCCGATGGCCCCGTAGGAGAACAGGTGAGGGTCACAGGATGGAGACAGCACTGTTAGGCCCTGTGGTCCCAGGGAGAAGGGAAAATGAGGTTGTGTAGGGATTGTGTAGGAGGAAGGTTGGCTGGTACTCTGCAAATGGGATCTTCTTCCAGGTATTAGATAAAGCGCTTTGGGAGTGTGTTACTTTGTTTCCAAAGGAAGAGTTAGAAATTTGAGTTTATCCATAGGCCCTCATCAGATAGCCAGGTCAGGAAGTCTTTTTTTTCTGTCTTCTTTGACACAAACTTGGGTTTAGAGAAAGTCTAGTTCAAGGTTTGGAAGCTGATGAGAGAGCAAGGACTAAGATCAAGGAAAGAGAGAATCTAAATTTTGTAGACTGAGTTTTCAAATACGGAAAGTGTTAAATGAGATGATGTAGAGTGCTCACCAGTTGTCCTGGGCATGTAAAGTGTTGAGTGAAACAAGCTGTCACGATTATTTCTATCTACCAAGTCATACTGCACAAGCAGAGGAAAGGCTAGTTATGTAGTTTATAACCTGGCAGTGTCTTCTATGTTAAAAGTTTTCTGTCCTCAATTGTCATTATGTATTGTCATTAGGGATTGAATAGTTTCCGGAGTGAACTTTTCTAGGTAATAGAACTCCATCTTTTTTTTAGAATTTTACTTTTTTATGTGACATACAGAGAATATTTTTATGAAAATCTTTATAAGGTATATTTACATTCTTACTAGGTGAGACTAACCTTAATAATTGAGATCTTTTATTTATTTATTCATCATTTTTTAATTAAGTTTGGAAAGGAATACAGACCCTATTGGAGGTTTTTTCAACTTCAGATAATTTCAATGGAGATACTTTAGCAGAGGTAGGAACCTTTTTATTGCCAAAGATCATTTGAATACCCTAACATCATTGGAGACCCATACAAAATTTCCAATACAGGTAGACAGACTATTGGCAGCTGATGAGAAGAAGCATATGTCAGTTCCTGTCACATACCAGGAACTTACATGTTTTCCACCCTTCCTACTGTCTTGCACTCAAATGCTTTGTTTTTCGTGCCAGTCCTGGAGCTTGATATCAGGGTTGGGTGCTTTGTTTTGCTCAGGCCTAGTGCTTGAGCCGTAGCTCCACTTCTGTTCTTCTTCTTCTGTTCTTCTTCTTGTTCTTCTTTTTTTGGTGGTTCATTTGGAGATAAGAGTGTCATGGATGTTCTTGCTCAGGCTGGCTTCAAACCTTGATCCTCAGATCTCAGCCTCCTTAGTAGCTAGAATTACAGGCATGAACCACTCATACCCAGCTCACTCAAAGATCATTATAGGAAACCTAAGAAGAGGTACACTGTTTTTAAAGTCACTTCAATCATGACAAATATTGTGTGTATTCCTTCACATGCTTAAAGTCGGTTAGGAGTGCTACAGAGTATTTAGGAAAGGAATGAAACTGAAGAAAAGACACTATTTTGCTCATCAAAAATAAATTACAAATCCTGTTTGTTTCTCTTCCAGATCCGACGTATTCTGAAGGGAAAGTCCATTCAACAGAGAGCACCACCATATTAGTTCCATTAACTTGGAGCATGGTTAGCGACACTCACTGTCAGTTAGGCAGTCCTAATGTATCTGTACATAGACCATTTGCCCTGTATTGGCAAATGTAAGTTGTTTCTATGAAACAAACATATTTAGTTCACTATTATATAGTGGGTTATATTAAAAGAAAAGAAGAAAAATACCCAATTTCTCTTGGCAGATTTACATATTTCATACCCAGGTATCTGGGATCTGAATTTGATCTTAATGATAAAAGTTGCCATCAATTAACTATATAGGTTTGGAGCAGGAAGACTTTGATTTGTGGCATAAGACATTGCCTTATGTAGCTATTGCTGGTTTCAGGTAAATTGCCAATAAATTGTATACATTTACTGAAGAAAAATAAAAGCATTTGAAAGGGAGAGAAAACAAAAACAAATTGGGATGTAGTGCTGATGTTTCTTTTAGTCTGATGTGGTATCCAGTGGTTATTACTGCTCTTGGCAAGTGTCTCTAGTCAGTGTGACTAGATGAAAGGCGCCTGTGGTTAGGATTTGATTTTTTTGCAAGCTGTATATAGTTATTTTGAACTGTGAGAATATTGTATATATTTGGTCACTAATATGGACATTTGAAATGTGTAAATAAACTAGAAAAGAATGAGTGAATTATCACTACTTTGTGTGTGTGTGTGTGTGTGCTGGTCCTGAGGTTTGAACTCAGAGCATGGGTGCTGTCCCTGAGGTTTTTTTTTTTTTTAGCATAGAATATTTCCTGAGGTTTTTTTTTTAGAAGCTCCAGGGTATCTAGCACCCGAGTCACAGCTCCACTTCCTGCTTTTTGGTGGTTAACTGGAAATAAGAGTCTCACAATCTTTCTTGCCCAGGCTGGCTTCAAACCTTGATCTTCAGGTCTCAGCCTTCTGAGTAGCTAGGGTTTTAGTTGCTAGCTACCAGCACCTGCTGCTACTTTTTAAAATTATGCATATTGAAAGGAGCTGTTATTGTGTAGTTACCCAACTAAAGCCTTTGTAGAGAAGGAAAATGGAAAATTGGCTTGTAAATAGGTGAAGAGCTATGTTTGAATTACAAATATGCTTCTCATGAATTGAAATGGAGATAACTGCATGCTTTTGAAGAAAATCTCCTTATGTTGTAGTTCACATAGGATTTATAATTTACATGTCTACTTAAAATTTTTGTTTTTCACCTTTATAGAAATAATAAAATATTAATATTTAAACTATCTGTTTTCTGTTGTCAGATAATGATAATGTGCCATGATGTTTATGTTATCGTGTAGAAACAAGCTTTATTTTTAATGTTAATTCTATTAACATTATTTTGGTGACATCTGGTATACCCCTAAGGCATATCTTTAGCTTTAATTACATATTAATGCTTCATTAAATTAAAAAAAAAAGCTAAGTGGTATCTTAGTAGTGATTATGTTATATCTTTGTAGCCAAGTGTTACAATTCACTTAAAAAGATTTTATTTGAATTGATCCCATTGTTTGACCCAGTTTGTTTTATGGAAATATGTGAGGTATAGCCCCTCAGTATCTATAAATGGTGTGATGAAAACCAGATCCCTTCCATTATGTTCCCATTCCTCCCCCTTCTCGTCTCTTTCTCAGTGTTGGGTAAGTCGTACTGCTATCTTTTGAGAATCTGATGAGTCTATGGATCACTTCCCTGGAAAAACATCCATGAACATATATATCAGACTGACTCCACAGATTAAGGAACTACTTTAGCTCTGTTGCTGCACATCAGATGTAATTTGCTTTGCAGATACAACCAGGTGATAAAGAGAGCAGTAGAGTGATGCCCCCCATCCCCTTCTCTCTGCCCCTCGCCTATGAGAGAATACTGATTAATGCTCTGTTTACCACAGTGGCATGGGCAGTAGCTCTTGGTGGAATAGTACTTAAGAACATCACAAGACGGGGTGGTGGCTCACACTCACAATCCTACTAGAGAGGTTCATGGTTTTCAACTATCTTGGACAGAGGTTTGAGAGGACCCTTCTCAACTTAGTCGGGCATGGTGGTGCAGACCTATCATCTCAAGCTTACATGAGAGGCTAAGATTGGGAGGATCACAGTTCCAGGGCAACCTGGGCAGAAAGTCCAAGAAACTCTAGGTGGCAGTCCCTTGTGATCCTAAAAGCCTAAGTAGGCAGATGGTGGCTCAGTCATGTGCCTGGAAGGAAAGTGAAACACCTCCAACACAACAAAAAACAACCAGGACTGGAGGTGTTGCTCAAGTGGTAGAATGTTAGCCTACCAAGTGTGAGGTCCAGAGTTTAAATGCCAGTACCATCAAAACAAATGAAGCCAGTCACAAAAGCTAAGACTGCTCCTACTGTACTTTGGTTGCTTAGCACAATATACTGTAGTTTTGTTGCTATATAATTTAACATTGACCATGTTAATGAAAATGGGCATATCTGACATGTGGGTTTTGTGTGTGTGTGCACGTGCTGGTCCTGGGGCTTGAACTCAGGGCCTACATGCTTATCCCTGAGCTGAGTGAGCCACAGCTCCATTGCCATCTTTTTTTTTTTTTTTGTCGTTAATTAGAGGTAAGAGTATAACAAACTTTCCTGCCTGGGATAGCTTTGAACCTTGATGCTCAGCTTCCTGAGTAGCTAGGACTTCTGGTATAAGCCATTGGTTCCTACCGATTGCTAGGTATTTTAGTAGATACCAGCTATGAAAATGAAAGGACTTATCTAATCTGTTTCCTTGCTTTCATAAAACACTTTTATAAGATCATTCTGGTTTCAAAGTCCTCCCAGTTTATTAGTGTGCTAGGACTATATAACTACTGAAAACTTGGTAGTTTACACAAGAGAAATTCATTCTCTTACACATCTGGAGGTCAGAATACTGAAATCAAGGTGTTAATGGAACCAGGCTCCTGCCAGAGATTGGTAGCGCTGATGTGGTGGGTTCTTTCTACTTCAGCTTCTAGTGGCTGTGACAGTGTAACTACAATCTATTTTCTTCACATGATGTTTTATGTCTTGTTTCTTCAAATGTCTTACAAGGGTACTTGTCTGTGTATTTAAGGCTCACCTGACTAATCCAGTATGATCTCATCTCAAAGTTTTTAATTACATGTGCAAAGGTCTTTTTACAAATAAAGTCAAATTCACAGGTTCTGAGGATTAGGGTGTGGACATATCTTTTAAGGGTCATTCATCTAAAAACACCAGAGGAAGATTTGTAGTCTTTTTTTTTTTTTTTTTGTCGGTCATGGGGCTTGCTGGTTTTCTGGTGGTTTACTGAGGATAAGAGTTTTGTGGACTTTCCTGCCTGGGCTGGCTTTGAACTTCGATCCTCAGATCTCAGCCTCCTGAGTAGCTAGGATTACAGGCGTGAGCTACTGGCACCCAGCGATTTGTTTGTAGTCTTTTATACAACATTCTCTCTCTCTCTCTTTCTGTCTCTTGTTGGTCAAAACTTGGGCACTATCCTTGAGCTCTTTTTTGCTCAAGGTTAATGCTCTACTACTTTGAGCCACAGCACCACTTCCAATGTTCTGGTAGTTAATTGGAGATAAGAGTCTCACAGACTTTCCTGCCTGGGCCGGCTTCTTACCGTGGTGCTCAGATCTCAGCCTCTTGAGTAGCTAGGATTACAAGTATGATCTCTAGTGTTCAGCTTTCTTTTTTGTGTGTGTTATTTTATTCTTTTAAATTTATCAAAACTTTTTTTATTAGCATACTTTAGTTGGTGCAAGGGTAGTTTCATTGTGTCACTTCCACATAAACATAGAGTGCCTCTCAATCAATCAGCTTCTTCCTTTTAAAGACAACTTTAAAGTGTTTGGGTGAGTGGTGGCAAAGTTGGTGAGTGATGCTGGGGATGGACTGTAAGCAAATTCTAAGATGGCCCATTGAACTCTTCCCTTGATATTACTCCTGTGATTACAATAGGGTGATACCATCTAGGGCTCAGGTTCATTTTCTTTGATTAAAGAATTAAAGGACAGGACAGTGTTTAAGCCAACAGAAGAGACTTATTTGAAAGTGAAAGGAACAGTGAAATCAACAGTGAGAAACAGAATCCTGTGTAAGGAGAGATCTCAGAAGCAGGTGTCTACAATCCCTCTCTCCTCTCTCCCCCTCCTCCCTTCTCCCATTCCTCTCTCCTCTCACCCTTACCCTACTATATATACAGGGTCTCTTGTCTCCTCCCCTCTAAGGGTGTGCTCATGAATACTGGCATACTGGAAGCTGCTTTGGATTGGATGGAGGCTGGGGGAAGCAAGCACTTGGCCCTGGTTGCAAAGAGCCCTGGGGACTACTGGGTATTTTTTGCTAAGTCATCCCTCCTGCCATGTTTGAGTCCAGTCTCAGCTGTTATCTTCTGTCCTGAACTACTTAGCCAAGGAGGCCTAATTTCTCCTTAAGGTTGCATGGCAAAAATGGCTTTGCAGATGTAAAATTACCAGGGAGTTGGCCTTAAGATGGGGAAGCTGCAGATGAGCCTGAGCTGTATCACATGGGCCCTTTAAAGGTGTCTTCTTGGGTTGGAGGCAGAAGAAGAAATCAGAAGGATTCAGTCTACCATCACTGGCTTTGAGTAATTGAGTAAGGAGCCAGGAACTATAGAAGGTAGGTAGCTCTTCTCTATGCAAAGGAAGTGGGATCCAAGCCTTGTGTGTACGGAACTCTGTGAGTACTGAACTCTGCCAACAAGCTGAAGAAATAAGTTTGGAAGCAAATTCTCCCCTAGAGCTTCCAAATTAAAGCTCAGGCCAGATAACATCATGAGTTTGGTCTTTTAACTCTCCATGGATACAAACTGTTCAGTGGCTCAGACCTGTAATGCTAGCTACTTTCAAGGTCAATATGAGGCTAGCTAGCCTGGGCACAAAAGTTCTGGAGATTGCATCCGAATCCATGGCTGGGAAACATGTGGCATACACATTGTCCTGGTTATGAGGAAAGCACAATGGCTGGTGAATTGGGGCACACCTGTCACCCCCACCAGCAAGGGGAAACACAAGCCAGGAGAACTGCAGACCAACTTGGCCTGAGCATAAAAGAAGACTCTACCTCAAAATCTATAAAATAAATACAGATCTCCTCTTCAAGAACTGGTCAAGAAATGGTTACTGAGGGTACTTAGAAAGATGGTAGTAGAATGACAGCTTCTTTTGTGGCCTAGATTTAGAGATGGTGGGCGGGGGGTTTTATTAATTTAATGGGCGTTTGTTTCTGTAACCATGAATATGCAACACAAATGGTAACTCTTGTGAGTGTCTGTGTATGACACATGTGGAACTTGTTCCTTACAAAATATATTGCTGACTTATTCATTACAGAATGATGATGGTGATGATGTTAATATTGAGCTAGGCGATTGTCCTTTTAACAGTCAACTTTCGGAGGCATCTTTCACATATATAATTATAGCACTCAGGAGGCTGTGGCTGGGGTAGTGAGGCCCAGGAGCTACATAGAGAGACCATGTTTCAAAACAACAACATTCAAAACCAAATTTCATATATTACTTTTAAATTGCATATCATCATTGATTTGGAAGGATTTTTAAATACATGGTTGTTCTTGGTAGAAGTCCAGAGGATTGTAGTTCAAAGCCAGTCTAGGCAGAGAAGTGTGAGAAACTCCATCTTCAAGGTAAGTAGCAAAAAGCAGGGCTGGAAGCATGGCTCAAGTGGTAGTGTACCAGTGGAACAAGTAGGCTGTGTATATATGTGTGTATGTG